CGGCTTTTTCTACTTGAAACTAAAAGCATATTGCTTTCTGGAAGGGGTTTGAAGGAAATTCTCAAGTAAACTTAAGCTGTTTTTCATTCATTTTGGGTAATCACAATGGAAATTTGACGAGTGGGTTCCCGTATTGTGGAACTTTAGGCCACGGCCACTGTGACGAACGCACCACGCCCCATCTTCCCCCGACCCCGCCCGGAAAGTTTGCGTGGCTGGAGCTGTTATTAGAGTTTTGCTGCTCCGTGTGTAAATTAATCTCTCGCATTTTAAAATTCTTCTCTAGAGCAGAGAAGGTCGTGAGGCCCTGCTAATAAAATCTATCAAATGGGATTGGCAGGCAAGATCATGGTGGGTGGGGGATGAGGGGGGGATATGAAAAGTCGGGAGGTGAGAAAGTTTGTGTTAAATAATCCCTGTGTGTCCAAACCTTAAAGGATGAAAGCAGACAAAGCAGACGTTTTTATTGTATCTTAACAATGAATGGGACTGAAGAGAAACCCGGGGTGTGTGACAGGTGGAACAGTGGGTTCAAATCACTTCAGGGATCAATATCACACTCGGCTGAACTCAAGGGAGGAATAACTCACGTATCTTCCTTTAGGAGCTTCCTGGAAAAAGATGCCTCTGAGGCCAAGCCCACGTGCTCCGGGAGCACGAGGCCACTGCGTCCCCTGGGCAGCAGCCTTCCCGTCCCCACGTTCCTGCCGCTGCGTGCCTGCACCCGGCCGACCCTGCATTATTTATAAGTTCTCTTTGCGAGTGACGGTCTAACACGCCACACGCCCCCCTAATGGCAGGGGGAGCCCCACCAGCTCTCCTGGCGTTCCCATACCTTCTCGAGAGGAGGCTTATTGAAGTCAAGATAAATGACATCTCATTTCGCCTGATGGATCAAGCCTGCCACGCGGTACAGGGACAGCGACAATGAGTCTGGCTGGACTGCAGCTTCACTCTTCCCAAGGCCAGTACTTCCTGCTCCTCCGTGATTGACTCCTGATGGACTCCAGAATTATGTTTATATACATTCCAATAATTTCCCAAATTAGGCTGACAATTAATCTTATGAGTTACTATTTTCTCCTTAATATACAAGCATTTTCATTATTCCCTTTTCAGCTCCAAGGGCCAACTCAGCCCCCAGGCTTTCTCGGCAATGGCCGCTAACAGCACTGGGACGCACAAGGTGCTGGGAAGGGTCACCGGTGGCAAATCCGCGTGTCTGGCTGTTGGCCGAGCAGACCCGCCAAGCTGAGGGCTGAGGCCGAGGGGTCCGGAGGGGCTGTGGGTTCGCAGTTTCTGCTAATTCCAATGTGCGCGATTATGAAGGATCATGAGACGCTCTTCATGCAGCAGCCATGAGACAGGTTGTCCCACAACTTTATATCTAGAAAGTGTAACTACATCCTCTGGGTTTGACTCCCCAGCAGGAGTCACCATACAAAGCGGGGCAGAAACTGCTAGCTGCCCTCCACTTTCCCCGCCCCCTTCCTTCCTTCATAATGGACAGAAATGTACCCAGCTGAAAGACCCTTTCCAGGCTCTCGGGCACAGAGACAGTCCATGAATTGTAAGCATACGTCTGCGGCAGATGGGACTTCTAAGAACGCTCTTCAGAGGTGGGCACACTTGATTACTAGGCCACGAGGCACACCCCATGCCTTCCGCCTACTAGGGTGTGGACGTGACGGCTGGCACCGCAGCAGTCAGCTTGTCACCGTGAGGCAGATGCTAATGATGGCAAAGCAAAAGGAAGGAGCCTGACTCTCTGCTGACCATAAAGGTGCCACTGTGACCCTGTAGCGCCCACTGCCCACTCTTTTGGTATGAGAGAGATAAAAACACACCTCCACCTCAGTTAAGCTACTGTCCTCTTGGGTCTGAGTCTAGCGGCGGGACTCCATTCCTAACCAAATCAGACGGCTACACTTACTTCCCTGGTGCAGTCCCAGTAAAGCCCCTTCTCAGGGATGCCTTCCCACCAATGGCATATTCCTCGGGGCATCTCGGCTGGAAAGCCTTTACGGCACGTTAGTAATGCCTATCTTGTGGGCAAATGGGGAGTCACTGCCTGTGAATGAGGCCGGATTCTGTTCTAGTTCTTGATCTTGTCTCACAAATGTCAGTCTTTGCTCCCGGGCGAGGCTGCAAGCCCGCAGGTTTGACAACGAGACAGGTATCCCCTCCACTCTTGTTGCCCTGGCCCATCGCCCAACCTTGAGCACACAGTAGGTGCTCACATCAATCCCTGAATGTGTGTTCTCGATTTTACTATTAGCAGACAGAATAACCCCAAATTTCTTTCTGTACAACTACCAGTACAGAAACATTCAAATACCGCAGTACATACTGGTCATTGTCACGGTGGAAGGAGGAATACAGACAACAACACGGGTGTTTGTATCATAGCTCAGCGTTTTCAAAGGCTTTTCACGTGCATTGCCTTGTTTTCGCTTCACAACTGCCCTTAAAGCAGTCAGGGCAGGTAGACACGTCACAACTTTACAAATGAAAACAGCAGAGGCTCAAAAAAGTTATTGTGTTTCTTGAAGGCAGATAAGGAGTAAATAGTAAGAATCAGGCCTTACAGACTCCAGGAAAGGGCCGTTTCTGGGGCCACGTGTACAGAAAGGGGTGTGTGCGCGAGCTTGCGTGCGTGTGTATGCATGTGTGTGCGCGAGCTTGCGTGCGTGTGTATGCATGTGTGTGCGTTGTGCACGCGCGTGTGCAGTGCGTGTGCCTGTGCGTGCGTGCCTGTGCGTGTGCAGACATCTCACAAGCGCCCCAGCCTCATCTCCATCTCCCTAAGTTACTCAAAGCCCCTCGATGGTGCCGTTTTCTTCCCAACGTACCACCTTCTAGTCAGAGGGCTCCTCACCCGGCTTACCAAGTCATTTGCTCCAGAGCCAGGCCAGCCGCACGTCCCCCCACACTTGCCCCCATTCTTCCCGACCTTGTGTCTAAAGCTCTCCTGTGACTGTCCTGTCCTGGGCGGCAGCACGGATTCAAGGACAGAGTTAACGTGCTTTGCTCCCTCTTGTTGAGCTGTGGGCGCCTGGAAGGCTCACAAGGAGCATGGACAATGAGTCCCGCGCGAGCGTGGGTCCCACTGGCAGCAGAGGCTGTTGACGGCGCCCAGAAAACAGAGCTCTCGACTCAGAAGACCCAGCGTTAGCGCTGCTCCGCCGTGTGTTAGCCGAGCGACCTCAGACCAGCTCGATTCGAGCAGAACGTGTCCTGTCCTATGCCATAAACTGCAAGCAAGCTGAGGGAGGGGCCGGCCCCGGTCCTACCGGACAGGTCGCTTGGCGGAGGGCTCGCGGGGCCCCCTGCAGTCTGGGTGGGGTTCCGGGGGCACTGCAGAGGGAAGGCGTGTGGAGCTGCCCTGAAAACCATGAAGCAGCACGCGAACACGCCCCTCGCCCCCCTCACGGCCAGCGCCAGAGATGGGGGAATTCATCACCTCACGGCCACGCTATCGCTCTTTTGTCTCGAGCCGCCGCCGCATCCTCAGCTCCCCTCCGCCTCGCCCGCACCCGCCGACTGGCCCCTCTTCTAATACGGCGCTTTGACCACGTCACTCACAGCCCTCAACCTTCCACGGGTCCCCCGCGCAGACCCTACAGCCTCGCAGCCCTTCTCCATCCAGCGGAGCCTGCGGCAGCACAGAATGCAAACGCACCGGTAACCCGAGGAAGCAGAGTCGCAGTGAACAGCCACGGGGACTACTAACAGCGATATCGTCATTTTAAGCGTTTCCAAATTTATTGTTATTTTATGAAACAGACTAATTAAAGCAAGCATGGACTGTGCAGGGTTTCAGCTACTTTCATTTTTCAGTGAGTGAGCAAGAATCACCAGCAGATAAACAGCCCCTTCCCGGTCGTCCTGCATGTTAAACATTTCTCCTATTCACCGTGAACGCAGCGGTGACGGCGCTTAACTCATAAAGGGGGATTTATGGACTTACGGATGACAACAGACAGCCGATCAATACGGGACGGTAATGATAGCATGTAATATCAAGGAACATGAGGTCCCAGGCATGATTTGGGGAGAGAAGTGGGCAGTTAGAAACCTTACCGTTTGAAAAAGGTCAAGGCCTGGTAGCAATAAAAACGCCTAAGCAAATAAAATCACACCTGTGAGTCAGGAGAGGGTAAAATTGCTGAACGAAAAAGGGTTTCAGATTTTGTGGGAAAACTGCTTCCCTGGGCAAGGCTCTGGGCTGCTCTGGGGCGCACCTGGTTGTGTTGAGAGAGGGTCTATTTATTACCGCTAAGAGCTTTGAAAGTGAAATGCAGACATGGAGGAGGTTTCTGAGTGCCCAGCCCTTCCTGGCGCTAAGACCCGGATCCTCCAGAAAACCAGTGGAAATAACTGAAAATAATGGGGTTGGGTCTTAGCACCTAAATGTAAGACCCACTGGCTTTATGACATTCTGCCTGGTCATTTTTGGGGGGTGGGTGTGGGGAAGAGTTTTTATTGATTTAGTAAATTGTTTGCTTGTATAACTTGAAAAGTAAACCAAAGCGGGGGTGGGGGGGGGTGGAGAGCGCCAAGTTGCAAATTCCATTACTAATAATTGTATTACACCATTAAAAGCAAAATACTAAATACTCATCCTCTTTGAAAAACATTCACAGTTTCACACAGGACTCCACAGCCAGCTTCACTGCAAAATATACTGTTATTCCATTTAGGAAAAGCCAATTTCACAGACCTTTTACAGAATAAGTGGACTAGTTAAAGGATGTGTGTAGATACATCCTGTCCTTAGTAACCAGAAAAAAGCAGTTAGAATCGTATCTGTTTCCCTTCTGTGGTTTTGCCATAGTTTTGGAACAGACAGAGAGATGAAGTTAAATACGTGATCACTCTCCTTCTAACCACTCCCTGGAGGACTGGACGCTATCTTTATTGCGAGCATGCTCCAGATGAACTTTGCAAATCCTGCTCCCCAGCGACGATTCTGCAGCCTCGGGGGAAAGCAAGCTTACCTCCTTGTAAGGTGTACTCGGTCACCGCCCTGCTGAAGACGCCCAGGCCAGCCCCATTGTAGGCGGCCACCTGTATCTCATACTGCGTCCAGATGATGAGCTCCGTCACCAGGCAGTAGCTGACCTCGGGGCTGGTGATGTTCCTCTGCTGGTACTCTCCGGGCAGGCCAGCCAGGCGGTACCTGCGGCGGACCCAGGGGAGATGACTTGAGCAAGGAACTGGCTTTACCTGAAGTCACTCCACACGGTCAGAGGAAAGCGGAAGTAAAAACAAGAGTAAAGCCAGAGGCCAGCGTCAGGCGACACTGCTTCTACTTCAACCGCTAACAAAGGTGTAACCTAATCTCACAGTGATTATAAGCTCTGGGCCAACGGAACTGACATTCCAACTATGTCAGGGTTCAGGGAAGATGGTCGCTTTTTAAGTGCCACTTGTCCAGGGAGTACAGCGACTTAGGGCCCAAAATTCCAGACGTGATTTCTAGCGGGTGTGGCTGTAAATCTGTCTGAGCGAGCCCTTCCTCCTGCGACTGCGATGAGGGAGGGAAGGAAACGAGCAGTGCGCGGTCTCTCGGTGTCCCTGGGCTGAGCTCCCCGCTGGGTTTGCTCACCAAGTCCCGGAGTCAGAATGAGTGCTTTCCAAAGGCATTCACCCTCCTAAAATACTAGGCTGGCGCTAAGTACGACAAGTGGCTTCTTAGGGGACCTGTAAGGAGTGGCGTGTATGCTCTTTAGTGGACTAATGGCAGAGATTTAAAGTTGTATTTATTTAAAACAGCGACATATACACGGCTCTGGACACAGAAAACGTATTAGCTAGGACATTGCTATTTGTACAATGAAAGGGCTGCTGTAGTGTTGTTTTGAGTAGCGAGCGTTTTCCACGACTGCATGTGTAGAGGTGAATCAGTTGCCCTGGGTAAACCGAGGGGCGTGTGCAGTGGGCGTAACTTCCTCAGTCATCGGGCAGCTTCCAAAAGCACGAATCTCTATCCAAGAGCTGGTTCTTGCCTCAGGAAGACGTGGCTCTGATGCTCGGTGGGGGAGGGAAGAGAGCACGAGCCCAGAGTGGCAGCAGGAGACCGTCCACTCTCCTCAGCGGGCCGGGGTCTCCAGGCCCCTCCCGGACACTGAGCAAGCCTGCGGAGTCCCGCTCAGTCATCTGCGCTGTCCCCAGGGGCGGAGCGTCTGGACGCAGGCGGACCGGCAGAAGGAGCCCCGGAGTTCAGGCCTGGAATGGAAAACAGCCCTCCAAAGGGAACAATGGCTGAAAAGGCAGTCCATGAAAATCAGGATTTTCTGAGACTAGTCTTTTGTCCCTTCCTGCTACAGGCCACTTGTACGCGGTGAGGACTGTGGAGAGGAGGCAGAAATGCTGGAGAGCAGGCCAGCTGTGAAAAGCACAAAGGCCCAAGGCCTCCCCGACTCCCGCCTGAAAGGAGCAGCAGGATGCGGGCCCTGCAGGGCCCTGGTGACGGTCAGCGGCGCTCTGCGACAGGCCAAGACGGAAGTTAGGGGATCAAACCCCATTTGTGCTTTGTAGCCCATCAACTTCCGATCCTACTCAGCTGACACTCCTTTCCTGAACTACCTGCCCCAAGTGGAGGTGCCATTCACAGAACGTGAAGTATAACGGGACGGTCCGTCTTCCAGGCAGGGGACAACAGGAGGAAGGCTTGGTGTGGAATAACCCGCGTTCCAGATACTTCCCATCTACGAAACGTAAACTTTTAAAATAAATGGCACTGAGACAATTAGACAGCCATTTTGAAACAGGTAAATATTGGCTTCACACCCACACCAGACCCCAGAGTAACGTGGCACGTGACTGGTGTCCAGGATCATGGGTAACCAACGTGGCACAAGCCGGGCACGGCTACTGAAGAGCTCACTCCGCTATCTGATACACATCCCAGGGAAAAGCAAAGCAATCAGCTCAGAAGACGTAGGCTGGGAAGAAGGCTTAGGAGCTGGGTGGCCTCAAGCAAATTCTTAACGTCCCTGAGCCTTGCTTCCCTCCTCCCTAAACGGACATAATAATGATGGCATCTCACAGGCTTGTTGTAAGAATAAAATGAAACAGTGGGTGCACAGGAGGTGTGACAGTGTAAAGCACCCCCTACACATTTCTCCTTTGGAAACACTGCTCTTGTAGGAAGCATCCTAAGAGAGAACACTGAGCTATGAGAAACCAAGCGTGCTGCACACCTTCTCCCAGGCCCCACTGTGTGAGGTTGTGTGTGACGTGCTGCAGAATCCACGTCTTGGAGACGGCAGCTCTCCCTTCGAGGCAGGCAGCTTGGTCCACTCTGACCAGCGGCTCAGGGTGCTTTTGTGACATTCATGGGATGTCTGGGAAGGTCATAATTAATAACAGAAGTGCAGGGCATCGTCCTCTGACTGGCCGGATACGTTGCCCAGGAGACCGTCTCAGAGAGAACGAGATGATTTTTCACACAGAAGTAAACAGGAGAATGCTTTTAAAGGACGTAACCCCTATGCTCCTCTCAAAGCAACACCCTGCCCATTATTATAAATATTTTATTACTGTGAACACACTCTAACTAATTCTTATGGCCAGAGCGACAACAGTTATTTGTTTCCATTTTGTTCTTCCGTGGGTTGTGCTGTTTATCTGACACGGAGACTTGTGCCCCAGAGGGTACACACTTGCAAACAGAGCTGATCTGCAGATGGGAGGATTATTCGGAAATGTTTCCAAGCAAATTCATTTTGGCACGGGTCTTCGATTTCTGAAAACTTGGATATTCACAGGCCTTGGGTAGTGTACCCTCATCTTAGGGCTTTCTTGATTCAAGCCCCTGCAAACACAGATGCCCTCTTTTCCGGTGCTCGACTTGACTGATACCATCACAGAAAATCCTTTTAACAGTCGTAATCCCGCAAAATAGAAAAATGTGCAGTCCCTGATGGGGCCTCGTAACATCAGAGAGATTTCGTTATTAAACTCCATGCCCCGGGTTCTGGTTCTGTGGGCTACTTTTAAAGTCCTTACTTGGCAGCCGGAGCGCAAGGAAACTTTTCCCTCCATGTGCTCAAAAAAAGACAGAGGCGGCACGGATGACAAGCACGGGAAGGAAGGGCTGGTCTGGGAGGGGAGGCCAATTATTTTCATTAGTTGATAAGCACGGAACAAGGGCGACAGCTGGGGTGAGCAGTGAGGGGCAGGAACGTGACAGAAAACCCCAGCCTCAAGCAGGGGGAAGCACCAGGCTGCTTTCCCCAGGGAAACGGGATTGTCTGGAAGCATCCACAGGACCAGAGTCCACAGGCGCCCCCTGCCCGCAGGGGACAGATCCGCGGTGTCCCCTTTGAAACGGGGAAGGACGGCCAGGGGCGCGGAGACCGAGGGGGCCCTGAGTGCTATCAGTCCTCCAGCCCTCGTGCACCCCTGGGGAGGGCCGCACTCGAACCTCTTCAGGGAGATAATGATCTGGCTTGTGTTCAGAGGATACTTCATACGCTCGAGGAAAAACTCCAAAATAGCGGTGAAATGGTTGTGACAGGTAAATATTACAGGCATAAAGATAAACACGTATGAAACCATGAGTGGGTGATTATGTAAATACATAGGGAATGAGCTATCTCCCAAATGCAAAGATACGGAGTTAAAGAAGCAACTCTTTCATGATTTCTTACATTGATCTAAGAGACTATATTTCTCCACTTAAGACCTTTGTTAACCTGGTATTTTCTGATCACACTTTTAGAAGGGGCACGGGCTGGGCATCTGGAGGACGGTAATGACGGACACCCATGGTCCCTGCCCCATAAGGCTGGTAACAGATACGGCCACAGCTGCACGGTCCATTAGAAGAGGTTTAATAGTTACCCTTTTAATACTGCTTTACTGTTTTCTTTTTACTTGTGTCAACAAACCACTCAAATGATCACTATTGCTGCAATCTTAAAATTAGCAGCGGTTTTGGCAAAGCAGGTTCCTTCTGTCAACCCAGTCGGTGCCGGTACAGCTCACTCAACGTGCTCAGAAGCCTAGCGCCCCTCCCCACGGGGGCAGAGACAGCAAACCGGCCACTCTCGGGCCACATCTGTTCCATAGCTGTGAGGGTCTGGCCTGCCCTGTGTTTCAAAATACATTGATTTCATTCCCAATTTTTAAAAACGGTGAGAGTGCGTGTAAAAAGCTGGATTTAAAAATTTCTTTGTAACAGTGGAAAACCTGGCAATTCTGAACAACGCACTAGCATGGCAAAAACGGGCTTATAATTAAACCAACCGCATTATTCCTAATTAAAAATTATTATACTTAATAATGCACGCCCCTGGTAAAAACTTAAGAGTGAAAGGACTTACACTGAATAAGCACACCTTGCTCCCAACCCGTAATATTTCCCCTCCATTCTTCTGCCAAAATGCGACCCCTGATAGCGGTTTCTTGCATGTGCGCATCACGGCTGACTGCAGAGACTGTCCGGTGAGGCTGCCCACAGGCGCCTGTTCTCATTGGTCTGCCGCCGTCTCCACCAGTCCCTAGAGTCTCGCTGCTGGCCTGAGTCTCTCGGTTACTGTTGGGCTCCTACAGACATTTGAGTTTGCGACCTGAGCAAAACAGACACTTGACTCTCTATAAGGACAGTCTAAAAATGGCCGACCACCGGCTACTTGCCTGAGGATGTACCCACGCAGCACCCCATTGTGCTCTGTTTCCGGGGGCGGCTGCCACTGGACCATGATGGACTGATTGGTGCGCCCACTGGCCACTATATTCTTCGGGGGAGCGCTGGGTGGCTCTTCAGGGAGCATCAACCTAAAAAAAGAAGTCCGGGAGGGGAAGAGAGGTCAGCCCCAGAAGCGAAGGGTCCTCGCTCGCATTCTCTACCTTGCTGAACCTTGAGCCTAACTATTTACTCAAGTCGAGCAATGAATACAGCAAAACGCACAGCTGATCAAACTGAAAGGACGTGCATGAAATAGTTACAAAAAAATCAACGTAATAGAAAATCAGTTCAGCAAGCAACGAGAAAGGCGTGGGAGGTGACCTTATGCTGTTTGAACGGCCCGTGGTACCTCCGCTCCTCAAAGGATCACGGGTGTGAGTGAGGCAGCTCACGGGCCGTAGTCCGAGGCTCCTTCCCGATTGTTTCCTTCGGCTCTTTCGATATTTCTCATATCAAACTCCCACATTTTGGAAGAAGTCATTTAGATCTCTCAACTCTTCTATAGCACAAGCCCACTGAGAGCTCAGGTGCGCTGGGGAGGGCACACTGAAACAGGATGAAGCCCTTTCCCCACGTCACATCTGAACAGGCTTGAAAGCAGCCGCCCGGCCTGGGGAGGTGCGGCTGGTGCGGGGGACAGCATCAGGACCACCAGGGAAACGCCAGAGCTCACTTGGCTTCCTGCCGACACCTGCTCAGTGTGTACCTGTCAAGACGGTGGCACCAGCTCCCACCTTGCTGGCAGTCAGGTACACAAAGGGCATGGAAACACCGCAAGCTCTTAATCTCACGTAAACCGAGGGCTGTGCGGTTGGGAATGATTTATGTTGGCACAGCCAGAGCACCGCAGAAGCCTAAGAAACTCCCCTCGGCAGTTAAGGACCCCCTGGCTAGCCTGGCGAGCCACTGTGCTTCCTCTCTGCTTCCCCCAATATGACTAAGGGGTGGTGGCTGATGGCCTAACTCGATGCTTCCTAGGCTCCCTGTGCCTCTCCAAGGGGTGCGTGTCACACACCTGCTCGTCTCTGCGCTGTACTGGCCCTTGCCCACTTGGTTCACGGCGCACACCCTGAATTGATAGGTACGAGCTGGGGTCAGGCCACGCACGGTGACGCCTGTCATCTCGGGGCCAACGTGTGACAGATGCACTTTCCACGGAGAGTCTGAAAGAACGAGCAAAACAAGGTCAAGCCTCTACAAGCACATGTCTGAATGATAATAAGTGAATGCAAAGTGCGTTCCCACAGATTAGCTCATTTGCTTACCAAGGCAGGTGGAGTGGTTGGCTCCACTGAACAGATGGGCAAACCGAGGCTCATGGTCCCGTGGTGAGTAACCAGCGAGCCCGGCTTTGAACTCGGGTTTCCCACGCCGAGTCCAGTGTGCCTCCTGTTAACCCCATGCTGTTGTCAACAAGTAAAGGGATTTTTTGGTTCAACCTGCATACGGCAGTTTAAATGGAACCCAATATTCCTCATTCCTGTGTTCAATATGTAACGGGAAGAAGTCCTCTGTCAGCTCACATGGCAGATTGCAGATTTGTCTCCCAGAAAAGGATGCTGCACATGTCACCAAATGATAAATAAAACCTATAGTCATTAACATTTTAATAAAAGAGGAAATGAGCATGATAAAGACAGATGGGCTGTGCATTCTGCAACCCATCTGCGTGGCAACTCATTATACTGCCACACCCCTGAGCGGCTCTGGCTGGAGAGACATGGAATGAAATTCACAGCGAGTTTAGAATATCTGTGCTCCCAGCTTTCCGGCAGGCGTGGAAGAATGACTCTGTCAGCCAAGTGGGCTCTTGCCTGCAAGGCTTCAGAAGGTTCTGTCGGCTCCTACACTTCAGTGGGACTTTCTCTATAGAGTTTAAACAGGCTTTTTGGCCCAATCGTTTCGTGCAGTGATGCCCTGGGATGAACAAGTGCCCTGTGTCAGTTCTGCTCAGAATTGCTATGACCCTGAACTACATTCTCAAGTTATCAGTGAAGTGAAATGTGGGTGCTGGGGACTGACCCGTAGGAAATCAAGCTGTCTTTCTTATTTCTTGGAAGCGGTGCTAAGCATTATGAACATAACAGCATTATTCAAAACAGCCAAAAGGTGATGCAACCCAAGTGTCCATCGACAGGTGAATGGACAACCAGAATATGGTCCATCCACACAACGACATATTATTCAGCCTTGAAAAGAACAGAAATTCTGACACACGCTCCAACACGGATGAACCTTGAGGACAGGACGCTGAGTGAAATAAGCCAGTCCTCGAAGGACAGATAATGTAGTATAACTCCACTTAAATGAGACACCTGGAGTACACCGGGGGCTGGGGGAGGGGGGGACGGGAGTTAGTGTTTCAGTTTTGCGAGATGAGAAGATTTCTGGAAATGATGGTGGCGATGGCTGCAGAGCGGGGTGACTGTACTTAACACTACCGAACTGTACACGCCGAAGTGGCTGGGATGGAAAATCTCACGCTATGTGTATTTCTACCACAATTAAAGAGTTTAACTGGTGGGAGTTGCACATAACACAAGGGGGTAACACACGACTCCTGAGACCGATGAGTATGAAGCAAGGGAAGGGCGCCGATGCGTCTGGCGTGGGCCCGGCTCCGGCAGAGACTCTGCCGGGCGCTCCTGTTTTCACCGCAGGCCCCCTCTCCACCCTGCCCACCCTGCCTGTGCCCTGGACGGCCTGCCCGGCAGGGAGGGCTCTTCCCTACTCACTGGAGGTTGCCCCAGACTGTCTGCATGCTTCACCCAAAGGTCCCTGCTCTTCTCACGGTGCAGCCCTGCACAATCCCTCTCCCCGGTTCTGCGGCTCCCCTCGCCCCTGTGACCACGGGTGATCCCGGCTCTGCCACTTCCCCTCATAAACTCCCCCCTCGATTATTCTGAGTCGCGAGGGCTGCCTGCTCCTGCGGGGGCCCCGCCACGCGCGCTGAAGGAAACACGTCTTCCGCCCCTCTCTTCCTGCAGATTGCAGCGTCTGTAAGCGTACACTGCTCGCCTGCTCAGTCCGGGACACAGTGAACCGGGGCAATTTCAGAAAGACGCAAAGTCAGGAGGACAGTGGTCGAGCCCGTGGACTGAAACGATTAATGGCACAGGGAAGGGGCAGAGAAGCGCCCCGGACGCCTCCTTCCCGCCCCAAGCGCCCTCCCTCCCTCCCACCCAAACTCAGCCCCACGCGATTCCCTGAATCTCAGCCATTTGTTCACGCAGAGTGTAAACAGCTCCTGAAAGTGTAGCCTGAGTGGTAGGAGCTGCTGCCCAGTTCGATTCGACAACGGGGCCTATTAATCTGCCCTAGACCCTGGGGCTCTGCTCAGTTCTCTGGTTGTATCGAGAGGAATTTTTACTTATTCTTTCTCCTCTCCTACTAGAAGATAAAAGATCTGGCAGGAAGAGAGATTAAACTGAAAACTAAAATAAATGAACCCAATCCATGTCATGGGCACTCTGATTTGTACCAAATTAAAAAAAAAAAAGTGGTCTAGGAAGGATTTGCTCACTAACAGACTTTGGAATTGCAGACTTGCTGAGAAGTGTTAAAATTTAAATAGCGAGTCTGTTCCTGACAGTCAACAGGCAAAATCCCTTTAAGAGATTCTTCTTCCAGTCCTCACAAAAGAGTAGTACAAGATGCTTGTCTCAGGGCTGGAATGTGGAAGAATCTTTTGATAAAGGAACCCAACCGATAAAAGTTTCAATAGCTTTTTTGCACCCCTTCGGGGATGCCCCTTGCTCCTCTAATCTAGAAGACTAAGGGATTTTAGTCTTCCCCGGCCAGGCTATTAAACAAACCTCTGCTCCACAGACGGGCATCACTAATCTTTCTCTTGGCTTCAGGCGCCCAGAAACCACGAGGCATTAATCACTCCTCCACTCTGTCTGTTGGTTAAAAAGCTGGTGGCTTTCCATCTTCCCAAATGTACTGGAAGCTTTTTTCGATTTAAAAAAAAAAAAAAGAGCATCACCATTTCCTCAATTAAAGGTACTTGAGGAAGGAGAATACTTTTCAAAGAAAATTTTCTTAATTGCCAAAAGAACCATTATTATTATTAATACCTAACATTTGTGCAGCTGTTCGAAGTCTGGACGTGCTTTCACATCTGTAACCACATGAGTCCTCGGGAAGGAGGTATTATCTCTCCTCTTAACAGATGGAGAAATCAAGACTCAGGAAGTTTAAATAACTCCTCCCAAGCCTTACGGGCTGTCACCGCCTAGGCCCCTGGATGGTCCAACATCACTGAGAACAGAGCAGCCGGGCCTCCAGCGTTGCCCTGCGAGACGAGGTACGGGGTATCCAGAAGCACCCGGGAGGTGCTGACACTCACACACACCCCAAGGAAGCACAGAAAACCAAAAGCTGAATGTGTCTGGGCAATGAAGAAGATGCAGGAACCAGTTAAGTGACACCAGGAGGAAGCGGAGAGCCAAATCCCGGACTCGGGACGTTCAACAAGCAAGTGCCCCGGGCTGTACCCCAGGCGAGAGCAGGTAGGAAGGCAGGCGGGGGCTAAAAGCGGGGAAAGTCGGTTAAGAGACGAAAGAGACAAAGCCACCAACACAACAGATGGACCTTGTCTGGATCCTGATTCAAGCAAATCAACTGTGAAAAGACGTTTTTAAAAAAACGATGAGGGACACTTAAATGTGGACTGAGTATAAGATGGTATTAAAGGCTCCATTAATTTTCTCATAGGTATACAATGTCCTCTTTTGAGCTATTTACTGAATCACTTAAGGATGAAATGACAAAATCTCTGGGATTTCTTTTAAAATACTTTAGCCAAAAAGGTAGGGAACTGAAGAAACAACTGTGGTAAAATATTAATGGTTTTTGAAACCAAATACAAGAATACTCTGTACCTTTGTGCGTATTTAGTACTTCTCCTAACAAAAAGTTTTTAGAAAGTGACTCTTGTCACTACATTGCCAGCAGTGTTGTAACGGTCTTAAATCGTACACTTGATGGCTGAAAAGATATGATTTCACTGACGCTGTACCTTGTATTGTTTTACGTGGATGAGAATGAACATTCTTTCATTCAAATAACTTCCCCCAGGTTACAGCGTGAGTTAAGTGGAAAATTAAGATGCAAATTAATTTTTCTAATTGTAATTCCACTGCTGATTTGGCTACAACTGTCTGCATACTGTGTCTCCTGAAATATGAATACCGTAAGTATTATAATAATAATGGCTACCCACGAGATAGACTCCATTCGAATGCATTTAATTCACTGTTGGATCCTCAGCACCTAGAAGAGTGCGTGACCCACCGTAGGAACTGGATTCCTCCCTGTTCTGGGGAAGCACCTGCTGTGCCCCAGGCACTGGCGATGCCTCCATCGGGGCGCACCCAACCTCCACAGTTACCTGCGGCAGGTACGAGCGTCCCCATTCACACCCGAGAAACGGAGGCACGGACTATGGCCTGATCTTTCCACCTCGTGGAAACTCCCGGATAAGCCCGATGTTGTTCTTTTGACTTCTTGTAGCTGCTTAGCATTGAAGCAAGGAAGCCGAGGGCTCGGTCACAGAGATGATTCAGAAGAGGAGCTATTCTCTCGGACCGTCGCCTTCGAGGGTCCAGCACGGTCACGCTGATCAGACACTCTCCTTTCCCGCCCCGGGCTGGCTGTGTAGACGCTGAATGCAAGTGCTCTGGGCTTCTGAGGCCGACAGTGCACACTCAGGACAGGGGCCACAGAGAAGGCGACCGTAGGACAAACTCCGTCACAGCCCCCGACGTTTCCAAAGCCTGACCCACATGAACAGCAGCCAGCTGAGAACAGGCTCCTGGAGGGGGGGGGACGTGACGACAGGGCGCTTTGCCTCCGTGGGCTCCTCCCCCAGAGCCCCAACTCCAGTCTAACCACGAGGTGGGGTGGGACGTGAGGACAGGGCGCTCTGCCTCCGTGGGCTCTTCCCCCAGAGCCCCAACTCCAGTCCAACCACGAGAGGATGCTCTGACAAACCCCAGTGGAGTGGCATCCTGCAAGACGCCTGACCTGCCTTCTCGAGCTGCCACCGTCATCAAAACCCAGGTAAGTCTGAGAAACTGCCCGGCCAAGAGCAGCCCAAGGAGACGCGGGCCCTCAATGTGACGTGGTGCTGGATGGGATCCTGGGACAGAAAAAGGCA